GGTTGATTATAACTTTTACAGAAGGAAGAAGGAAAGGTTTGTTAGTATTTGATATTGTCTGGAAATCGTGGCTGCAGATAATATACTATCATACGATTAATTTAATAGTAATACTTAATTTTATTATAAAAATATAATATCAAATAGTTTTAAAATATTATTTTTACATTATTCAAATTTACTACAAACCAAAATTTAAGATAAAAATAATTTTAAAAAGTTAAAAAAGCTTATGTTTTATGAAGAACGACTGTTAAAAGAATGATCTTGTATGCTTTAATGGCAGTACTTTACATTTTAAATTTTATATTACTATTTCTGAAATAGAATATGTTTCTGAGAATTTTGATGTATGAATAGTTATAACTTATAGGTATACGTATTTAAAGTTTTTATGAGTGGACTGCTTGGCCAACATTTTGCCTAGCATACCCCTGCAGCGCTCCACTCAATACTCTTCTCTGTTTTTCAAACTTATAATACTTATAACTAGAGCCCGGATTCATAGGTTTTTGCATATTTTTTCCTTTTAACTTTTTCATATTTTTGTTAGTAATCTCCACGAATCATACAAGTTAGAATTCACTGCTGAATTTTTATTTTGCATATTTTTGCATATTTGACTGTAAACGCATATTTGTCTATAAATGCATATTTGTTTTTTCAATGAATGCGCAGTCGCGAAATTTTTTTATATTTTTTTCATATACTTAATATAATTTTGAATTTTGTAAATGCATTATTTGTTGCATATACCTATTAATGATTTTTACTGCATATTTTAATGATTTTACTGCATATTTTAATAATTTTTACTGTATATTTTGATACTTTTTATTGCATATAAATCCGAGCTCTACGTTATAACTAAATCAATTATGCTCGTTCGAAAATCTTAAAATAAAAATTTAGGATATGAAATTAAAAAAATATACTGCAGTTATTTAAAAATGCGAAACTCAGCAAATCGATAACGATAAAATTTTTTTTCAAAAATGTATTGTATCATGATTGATTCTTCTTTAATTTTTTTTTATATTTTTAATGATATAGTTATTAAATAAAAAGAATTACATTGTATTATTTACTCACATCATCCTTAGATCAATAGTAATTGATTCAAACTTTCTTCTAAATATTCGCTGTTCTGTTTATTTATACTAAGATTTGTGTGTTTTGTCTGTAAATTATTTATATATATATAATTCTACTGTTCGTGTGTATGTTACTATTAACTTCTCCTAAACGGCTGGACCGATTTTAATGATTTTTTTTGTATGCGTTTGGGTGATACCCTGGATGGTTTAGATTCGCGAATCAATTCACCTCCCTAACCTCCGGAGGTGTTCAAACAGACACTTTGAGATTTGCGATGGACATTTTTGTTTGTAGATGATTTCTATTAGTGATAGTTGGTATAAGTGATGGTTGCTATTAGTGTGAAAGAAATTATTATCCCTAAATTTGTTATTACTATTTTTTATTATTTATTATTTCTATGGCATTACAAGTTCTTATTATATTTTGTATCTTTTGTTTTTATTGATATAATAACGCCATTTATATGCAGTTATGCCCCTTAAAAAAGATCGATTGGAAGTTTTTCACCTCAAGCCCGAAAGAAAATGGAAATACGAGCTTCAGAAACAATCGTGCAAAGAGATGTAAGATTGCGAACCGCCGGAGAATGTCAAGCCTGATTCCGTCGGGAACAACTGAGCAACGAGATGCAATATTGGAAACTGATATGAAATATATGAGTGCACATCTACAAAATGATTCATCTGCTGATTTTGCAAAACAATTGCTGGAAATGGGGAACGGTAAACTAGCTATCGACGAATCAACACAATGCATCGCATTCCCAACTAATTTTTGTAAGATAACAGTACCTAGTAAATCTACCACAAAATTGCGGAAATCGTTAGTGGCTCATCGCACGAGCTATATTGGTGTAAATACCTACAATCAATTCACCATTCTAAACGAAATTCCAGGTGACACGAGATAACGTACCAGTCCATCGATACCGTAATAAATCAAGACGAAGTTTTCAATTATCCAACTGAATTCTTAAATTCGTCAGACATGCCACCGACGTTCTAACATTGAAATTTGATGCCTATCATTCTTCTACGAAACATCAATCCACCACGATTATGCAACAGTACGTACTAGCTGGCTTTCAGTGAAAAAGTTGATGAACAACATTATYGAAGCTACAATTTTAAACTGAAAGTTTAAAGGTGTAGATGTACTGTTGCCGCGCATCTCAATATGATACCAACAGATATGCCTTTTGAATTCAAACTCTGCAGTTTCCGGTGCGATGACTCGCCTTTGCAATGACCATCAACAAAGCATAAGAACAATTGCTACAAGTGTATGGACTGAATTTGAAAAATCCATGTTTTTCACATGGAGAGCTGTATGTGGCATACTCACGCGTAGGAAAACCTTTTGATTTATTCGTGTACGCGCCGGAAGGAAGAACAAAAAATATTGTGTATCCAAATACATTTCAATAAGTATCATTCAATTGATAGGTACCTACTTGAATTTTCAGTCTTTTTTCGATAAAACGAATAAAATTGTATARTAATAAACTAAATTTATTATCAGTGTAAGATTATTACTTAGTAGTTTTAACCATTAATTATCTATATGTAAAAAAAAGTGCTGCTAGCATGATCACTGCWAACGAATTTAATATACAGTTTGAGAAATTTAAGAGGTAGGCTTTTTAATGGGCTACGAAGGGCACGGATTAAGTTGGTATATTTATATTTTTATGTATAATGTTTATAGTTTTGTTAAACATGTGAATCACAATATTCACTATAATAAACTAAATTTCATACATTCAAATCCATCCACCGTTCCCAGAACTTCAATTGTTTATTCATATTATTATTCTGCTTGCTAATTAATGTTTTATTCTGTTTAGTTGTTTTAAAATATTGTGATCTGTGTTTGTGAGTATTGTCGACTTTTACCAAATATGATGACAACATAATAGTTCATTGTAACGCAATCGCAATTATTCTTTCATTTTCTCAATATAAATAGTGTAACTTTTGGTATGATTATTGTTATTATTATTAATGTAATTTGAAAAATTTTTCAATGACAATATTGTGACAATTATAATTATTCATACTTACCTGATAAATTATCGAATGCAATTTTTGATATTGTATATAAAATCTATAACTTATAGTCGCTTTAATTCGTGTACGAGTATATTATTGATTGTTCGATAATATTTTGTTTTAATTTAGACAACAACGCATTCATCATCRGGTTATTGCTGTGAAATTTTTAGAATTATAGTGATAATAATATTATAATAGCTAGTTATTAAGCGTTAAATTAAAAAAAAGTTGTTAATATATTGATTACCTATGCAATTTATTTAATATTATACTACTCGTACTAAAAAAAATCAATTAAAATAACTATTATTTCATTCACGTTTTATCGTTATTTTTCTTCAAAAGATTTTTTTACAATGTATTTATTTTAATTCGTGAAAGTTCCGTTTACCCATAAATCTACCGCAGAGAGCATTCGAACAGAATTAATTTTCACCAACTGCTTGTATAGCCTTTACCAAAATGGTACACATGCATTTATAAATACTCGTAATATCAGAATGCCTCACATTAATATATATTATATATTATTATATAAAGTATAAGTAAATATCTTAATCCTTTTATCCTTTTAGGCAATACGCAATATAGTGGAAGTGCGCAATGCCTTTTAGTTTAGTTTTGGCGTAAAATTGAGAGGGAACGATGTTTATTAAAGGAATCCATTAACAAAGTTTTTAAAATTAATTATTACATTCATGTTAATATTATATCATGTGATTACTATACCGTAGAATATTGTCTCACRGTGTTTGGATTCATTTTTAATTACGACCATAGTAATGACTAATGAGATTTCTATTTAGTCCCTTCAACAATCGAAATACGTTCGAATACTCGTGGGATCTCATCATTATTTTACTTAATCTTACATGTATGATGATGTGTTATAACCTAACCTAACCTAACCTATATTCTATTCACGAAATCTATTGTGTTGACAAAAAATGTTTAAATAAGCTTAATGTAATTTAATTTTTTAGATTTAAAATATTTATTTTATAATGTGATTTTGATGATTTTATTCACGATTGTTTTTCACTGTGTTGTTACTCTTAGGACCCGTTTTACAATCATAGTTTAAACCTCGGTTATGCTTGAACCACTGATTTTACCGGCCGAATTCCATGGTTTTACCGGAGTTCAACTAATTGTAATACGGTCCCTTATAGTTGGTTAATTTGATTTGTTTAAAAGTATCTTTTAGTTTGGAAACCACATTTTTATGTTGGTCAATTATTATTTTATGATACACATAACCTAATACTTATAAATTGATTTATGAATACTATTTTTTAGACATTATTCAATTATTAGTATCTTAATAACTATAATTATTGTAATTTGTATATATTTTATTAAGATGATAAGTTTCTAATGAAGTAATAGGTGTAAATTAATATTAAACTTAATAAATTAAGATTTTTTTCTATTCAAACGGGAATATGGAACGGGTTCCTATATAGTTTATTAATATAATAAACGTATTTAAAATATATTAATTATTTACATTTTTTATGGATTTTGTTTTCATAAATTATAATGAAAAAAATAAACATTGAATTCCTAAGATTGAAACTAAGAGTTATACATTTATATATTTAAATCCGGTTTTATTGGAATTATTTTATCGTTAATTATGTACAGGGTGGATCAACGCGTTTCTTCCATTTGGCCGTGTTACAGCCACTGGGGAAACTGGAGGTATACACGGTGGTCCACCCTAGGTATATTCGAATCGTTTTTATATAATTATTTTAATTGCTGATAAAATGTTGAATAATATGTGTTTTATTTTTACGAAAAATTTGCAGTCAGTCAACGCCCGTCAGTTAGGTTGTCAGTGCAGTGTAAAGCTTCTTTCACACCTACACAGTAATCAAGAGGGAAACGCCGCGACGATGACGACATAATGCAATTTAAGTATAGTTTTTGTCGATCAGCTATTCCGAAATCGTGTCGAACACAGGTAATTTGAAAAGTTCAATAAAATATCATTAAAAAAAAAAAAAAAACGTACACGGTTAACACGACGTGATAATGCGTCTTTATATTATATTGATCTGACGCGGTATCTTGGAGGGAATTTATAGATACACAATAATATTAAAATGATTCAGTACAATATAATAATATACTATTAATATATTATAGGATGTATAATTTTAGTTCTTAGAAATCCCCGCAACATAACGTAAAATATCAATCTTATACCATGGTGGTGACCTTGTGATCCATTTCGTTTGGAACTCGATTTTTGCGATTTTCGACGAACAGACAGTAATCGTACTATATTATAATTTATAAGTAGGTATACGTATTATCAAATTGTTTAATATACACCGTACGTCTAAATCATTATATTTTATGATATGTCATTATAATTTTATTAATTGTTTATTATAATAATATTATGACGATTGTAGTCGATCGTTTGATGCATTGACGGCAAAAACGACAGTAATATTAATGATTAATTATATAATAATATTATATTATTATAATGGGTGACGACGATGAGGAAGGACGCCGTCGCTGCACACTCTGTATAATATAACATCGCGTTATTAACCATTAGGCATATACCTATAGCACACCGCATACCGCTCTCCCTGCATACACACACACACACACACGCTCGCGCGCGCGCAGGTTTTCATGGTGGCGCACATCTGCCTCTCGGGCCGAACAAACACACACGTATGCCTCTGCATCAACTGGCGTATACGCAGTAATAATAATAATAATAATAATAATATGTACGGTCTGTATGAAAGAGAAAAAAAAGTGTACACACGCACCGTCCGCAGCGCGCGTACGTACAGAACACGTCACAGCCGTCGTACGTGGTGGGGAGGACGTGGGGTTCGCCGCCGCCGCCGCTGCCGACGACGACGACGACTACGACGACTACGACGAATTGGTAGGGTGTGCTCTGTGCTGCGGCGTACTATATACGTGTGCGTCGCCGTGCCCGTCGTCGAGCAGCGTCTGTTGTGTCGGCTAGTGCAGCGTGTGTGCGTGTCTGTATCTCTCCGTGGTCCCGCGTGTCGTCGAATCGTCGCTGCTGTTGCTGTTGCTGTTGCTTCTGCTCCGCGTCTACACCATCCGAGTCCGTCGTAATAATATTGTTGGCCGTTCGAATAGAGTTTAATATCTTATCCGGTGGGTGTTTCGCGCCATGCCGTAGTGAACGCGAAGGATATCAAAAAGATTTTTTAAAAAAAAACGCGCTCGCGAAATATAAACGAAGAAACGTTCATTTTGGCGGGGTGTTCGTTGCAGCTGTGCACTCGGGTGGGTTTAATTCTCACCCTTGCACGAACCTCGCGATTCGTTAGCGTCCAAACAAAGCGTCTGTGCTGACCAAACTTCTTCGCCTATCAGCAGTCCATATAACTTCGAAATCCATCTGGTCGCTCGCGTCCGATCCACCGGTGTCAGTAAGTAAGTACTCCCTTTTTTTTTTTTAAATTTCGAATCGCTCCCAGCTAGTTTTCTGCTTTCTAATCTGTTATCATTACGTCGTCACTACTCTACTTTGTACCAACGAAATCCCTTTTTGTCGGTATTTTACCTATAGCACACGACGAAAAAGGATCGTCCCGGAGACTTGAAGGAGTGCGACGCAATAGCAACCGACGACAGAGGGATCCTTTTACGCGGGTAGTGTGGGGGCATCCAATGGCTGTTTTTATATTCGATATCTGAGTGCGACGACACCGAACTTGGGCTCGTCTCTTTTGTTTTATTTGTGTTATTATGTTTAAACAATCGTYGGTGAGCACCATACAATGCAATGCACGATGTGTGGAGTATAGGGTCCGCGTGACATACAATGCATGATTGCACATACATACCTACATATATATATATATATATATAAAAATACAACAAATTACATGTATAGAGGAAATGATACCTAAATAGTAAACAGTGCTAGTAATTGCATAGGTATACGACGAGAACACCCGGTATTCATTCGAACTTCTCGCCCTTCGAACGGTGTGTTGTTCGTGGTGACGTGCCATATGGGTTAAATTGAAATAGTTACCCACAAAATCCGGAAAAATGAACAAAACCCTGATGGCTTTAAAACCTGTTTGGGCCAATCGGCGATTGGATATTTTTATTTGCTGGTCACGGTTGTTGTTTGTCTAATAATGGTATCATTATACGTAAACGGTGAATATAATAATTTATATATTGTGCAATATCATGTAGGGCTTTACCGCGAACACGAGTACACATCCGGAGCCGTGCGTGACAAGCAAGTGCAGCGGCGCGCGTACTTGTTGCTGTTCTTTAGCGATAATAAAACTTGTTAATCTTATCACGGTCGATCTCTAGTATCCAGATAACTCGTCTCGTTTACGATTTACGAAAGCGCCGGAATGAGCATTTGGTCGATAAGGTTTTGTAAATCGCGTTATTTTTGGTCGTGTTCGGTCTCTTCCTGTGCATAATTCACAACGAACGTCGTCGATAGGTTGATTCAACAACAAAGGAACCGATTGTATTTTTGGTAGAGTATTCCGTCTGTTTCTTTCACTCAAAACAAACCCCCGTCGACTTCATCCGTCCGTCCTTCGTACGTTATTAGTTATTAATATTATTATTATTATTATTATTTGTCGACGGTCGTTATTTTCCAGAGGATTTTAAGTAACCTCTATACCGCCTTCGTTATACTCGTATACGAGACGGGTAATTTAACGGTGCCACTCCCCGTGCACCTCCTATCATTCCGGTCGGGTACTCGAGCTTATAATAATAACAATAATATTATATTATCATAATACATGGCTGCAATCGAGAGTCACATGGACTGTTATCGTAAACAACTGCCACCACCGCTGCTTGTTGCACTGAGGAAAAGTGCATTTTACKCGTTTCGATAAAATGTCGGTATATTACCTACCGTAGTAAACCGTTTTCGCAATTATATTATGATGGTATTATACCTTTAACCTACGTTAAAAAAATTATATTGTATATTGTATATTAAATCATATTATAGGCAGGTTTTTTTATTTTTATTATTCATAGGTATATTATGTATTACTATTGACTATTGTGTGTCGTCGTTAATATTAGGTACCTAGTTGTCGCTGTATGCCTGAGTTACAAGAGAATCTCTCGCCACTGCCACCACTGTTAACCCTTAATCACTGATCTGTTCGAACGAAACAATATGTACAGAGAACGTATTCCGCAGCGCGTATAACATGCTCGCGGGCAATTTAACAATCCCGCGCATTGTATTCCATACATACACACACACACAAACACACTTGCGCGCTCGAACAGCCGCGCTAATTAACTGCATTTTCATACACACACACACACACACGACACACTCATTGTTTATATGTATAATGTGTTATGTATTACAACTTCGTGATTGTGTGCTCGTATAGGCCGTTGGTTGACGGATGATAGGAAGGATGTGGGCGAGTATAGATCGATTATCCGTCTAACGTTACATTCGTTTACAATCGTAAATGCAGTATAGCGTATTGGGAAACCCACGATTGTCGTTTTCAATCTCTGATAAAGTGATAAGGATAACATATTAAGCAYCTATACGGTTCTTGTACGCGTTTTCCTCCGCACCCCCCTCCGACGACAAAGTATAACGACCTGCCCATCGATGGCGGATTGCTCGACCATCCCGGTTTTTGGAATGACGACGATTTATCTCGTTTCATGTATTCCTGCTTTCCTGCTGCAGTTCCCAACGTCGCGCGTCGCTGCCACTGTATAGTTTTCACGTCAGTAATTAATATTTTTCTTGATAATAATATATTATTAACCCGTATAATATACCTATAAATTTAAGTGTAGATTGAAAAATAATAACACGGTCAAGGTTTTTTTCATCCTCAGCTATTCACACAATATGCGCAAAGCGATTTCTTTTGATCATTCGTTTTCATTACAGCTGTGGTAGTACGCCAGCCAGACTACGTTTGTAGTTTCCGCTATCGCCTTTGGATGATTATTTGTTTTGTTTTTTGTTCAAGTTTTTTTTTATCATCATTTCGTTTGCTGCCTTTTTCAGTAATTTAGAACAAACAACAACGTATAAAAAAAAAAAAAAAAAAACGATACAAATAACGTTTTGAAAATTTGTTGTGTAACAACAAAACTGCCTCGGTTCTGCATCGGTCTGATCGTGTGGATTTAAATAACTTTGAGTTTGGAACAACCCCATATTTGTGATTTTCTTATGCTCGAAGAGGTTTCCTATACCGGTAAATGTGTATTATAATTTATAATMCATATCTACTGTAATGCGTAGGTTTTAAATATTTGAGAAAACTAATAATATAAYGAACTATATAGGCTATGATATGTCTTATATTACAGATAGTCTAAAATGTAAAAATAATTGATGGCTTAATAATAACGTGTAAGTTGATATTTTTTATTGATTTATTTTTAAGGATTAGAATTCATTTTTTAAATTTTCACAAAAAGAAAGTGTTTTGTTATTTTTATTGATTGTTTGTAGATCTTGGTTTWAAAAAAAATTATTTGAAGAGTTAAAAAAAGAGATTTGTTAAATAATCAAATGTATGTCATAAATTTAATCTATATGAAGTGCTCGAAACTTATGAAATCAATCTTCTATTAGGAAAAGTGTGAACGGACGAAATACACTGTAGGTACAACATAATTTATTGTAAAACCATTTCTTTCGTCATATAAMAAATATCTATTCTATGAATCTYGTTCTTTCATTATAATAATATACCTATATATATTAAGTTTATGAATTTAAAGAGGATATAATTATATATTTATATACAACTTTAAACAATAACAATTAATATAAAATCGTATAATAACATATAACGYGATCGATTCGATAAGAAAAATTATAAACATATTTATGAGACCTGTAGTAGTTCTCTTAATTTAAAATGATTTCAGATCACGAATTCATATCATATAATTATTACG